AGACTGATAAAAGACTCATAGTGAAAATTAAAACTTTAACACTAATAAACACAAAGAAGAATATCTTTAAGCCTTCTCTGCTCCCAAGTTAATATTTAGACAAGTCACAAAAAGTGTTTATGATGGATAAAAGACACATAAGCAGAAAGAAGACAAAGGACTAGTATTTACAATACATTAAGAACTACAGCAGGTCAATGAGAAAATGAGCAAGAACTCGATAGAAAAATGGACATAAATATCTAAACAAAATATACATAGGAAAAGAAATTTAAATGGCCAATAAATGTGAAAAGATTTCTAACTTCATCAGTAATTACAAAAAGGAAACACTGAAAATGATGGATACTACTATAGATCTGTAATATCAGGCTCCCTGTAGGTATCTGATGGTATCAAATGTTAGTGAGAATGTGAGAAAGGTACTCTCTTACATTACTGGTAGGAGTTTTAAATTGGTGTAATTATATAGTGAGAAACCTGAAAATATTTAGTACACATGAATACGTGCATACCCTAGGATGCAGCAAATTCTCTGCTATGTATGATATCCTACAAAAGGATTTCATTGCATCACTGTTTTTAACAGCTAAAAACTAGGAAATAGCCCTAAATATTCATAAAATGTGGTAGAGACACACAATGGAATATAACATGACTGTTAAAAAAATTAACTAGTTGTAAAGGAATTTCTGCCATAACACAAGATGTGCATTCCTAAACATCTGACATTCTCAACACACAAACACACACACTAAAATACCACTGATTATGTGAAAATTTCTAAATCAAACACTAAAAATACTAGTAATTATGTAAAAAGTTGGGCTTGGAGAAGACCATTCTAAACCTATGCAACTTTAGAAACTGAGCACTAAAAATGAAAATAAATAAATAACAGTAATTGGAACCTCAGAAGATGAACAGTAACTTAGGACTGTCCAAGCAGTCATGACAGTGGATTCCTCGGGAGCTATTAAAAGTGCATAAAAATAATAAGGAAATGTTGACTTGTGGATGCTGAGACAATGCAGACAGAAGTGGAGGTGAGCACCAGAAGCTAAAAGCCCTACAATGCTAAGACTGAACGTTAAGGAAAATACCCAAGTACAAGATAATCACTTAAAAAAACAAAAAAAAACACACAAACTCCAAGCAGACAAGCTGAGGGCCTATCCCTTTCTTGCTAAAATTATAATTCTACATTCTTTATCACAGTTCTCCTTACCTAGAAAGTAAAGTAACACAACTTTCCCATTGGCCTGACATCATTTCTGTATTTATCAATTACTGAAGAGCTAACTAGTTTCAGAATACAGGTGTGGTTGGGGGAGAGAGAAGGAGGTAACAAAGAAATCAATTTTATCTGTAATGTCCTATCTTTTTATTATAAAGTGACACTGAAGCAAAAAAATGACAAAATGATGATATTCTGTATACTCAGTTCATGTATCCTTGTTCTATACTTTATAAATTATTTTTTAAATCATGAAATGGATATGTTTATCACAAAGCAAATTCAGAATGACTGTAATAGGCTGCAAAAATTATTTGACCTTTCTATCCACATTCCAGCCCAATTTGGGTATTATTGCTCTTCAGTACAGGTATCTGAGACAATAATAGGGATGTGAGTTTTCATAGGAAGCCTAGTTCTACCATTTATTCCAGTCTCACATTTACAAAATAACAAATATACCTAATGTCCCGCTGAAAGGTTTATTTTCAAGTAGACACTAAATTATTATAAATTACAACTTTCCCTTGAATCTTCACACACACATCTGAAGTGCTAAAGCCGATTGTTACTATTAAATAAACTACTGACTTTATACAGATTTCATTAGCTTTTGTACTAATATCATCCTTTTTGTTCCAGAATCCAATCCAGGACACCACAATGCATTTGGTCATCATGTCTCCTTAGTCTCCTCTTAGTATCAGTTTCTTAGTTTTTCCTTATTTTTCATGACCTTGACACTTCTGAAGAGTACTAGCCAGGTATTCTGTAGAATGTGCCTCAATTTAGGTTTGTCTGATGTTTTCTCTCAAGCTTAGAATGGGATTATGGATTTAGGGGAAGAATAAATACCACAGAGATAAAGGGAATACATGTTATCAACAGTATTTATAATTGACGATGTTATCCTTTATCACTTGTTTAACAAGGTAGTATTTGCCAGGTTTCTCCATTGTGAAGTTACTATTTTTTTCTTCTATCTATTCCTTAGTCCAGCCCACACCTGAGGGATGCTTCTGAAGGGGGCAGGAAATTGAAGAGGGAGGGTGTGGGAAGAAGTATCTACAAATTTTTAGAATAAGTCTGTAAGATTTATCCCTTCTCCCCCATTTATTTATTTACTCAACCATTTATTTATATCAGCACAGACTCAAGTATATTTATGTTCCAATTTGAGTAATAATCAAATACTAGGTTATTTTGTTGCTCATATTGTTTCTGTTCTGGACATTGGGAGCTCTTTCAGGCTGGCTCCTTTGTTGCTTTGACATGGGCCCATCATTTTGTTTTTTCAAGAACTTCCTTACTTTCTGGTATTACTAGATGCTCTAGTGTCATCTTGTATTTTCCTTGCTCCAGCCATAAAATCAGCCATTTCTCCAAGGAGTCCTGCTTACTTGCATTGCAGAATGATATTTAGAAATCAAGATCTGGGCAATGGGTGCCTACTAGCATTGTCACTGTTTTTTGACCTTTCAGCAGAAAGAGCTGAGAAATGTATGTGTACTAACTCAAGTCTAAGCATATACATATATAATTATTTCTGTATGTATCTGTACATATTTTAAACTAAACAAACATAAGTTCATACTGATGTTTCTGACTCTAATTCTGTGGTTAGTTTTTAATCCCAGACTGAGCTTCCCTCTACTACCTAGCATACTCAAACTATATCCTCTATTTGCAGGTAGTTCATTAAACTCAAGTTCTAATATTAGTTTTACTGAAATAAGAAAGTAAAATACATTTCAAAACGGAGTCTCATGAGAGGTCATCTCCAGTTAGAACTATTCATCAGCCTGTGATTAGAACTGTATAAAAATTTAACTTTTTAATTTATTTTTTAAACCAGTGTTGTATTATTTCAATATTCATTGACCCTTGAACAGCATGCATTTGAACTGTGCAGGTCCACTTAGACACAACTCTTTTTCAATAAATGCTATAAATGTTCTTTCTCTTCTTTATGTTTTTCACAATAACATTTTCTTATCTCTAGCTTATTTTGCTATAAGAATATAGTATATAATTAACATACAAAATACGTTATTTTACTGTTCATGTTATTAATAAGGCTTCCAGTCAACCAGTAGGTTATTAGTGGTTAAGTTTTTGGGAAATCAAATTATACACAAATTTTCGACTGTGGGGAGTTGGGGGTAGGAGGTCAGTGCCCATAACCTTTGCACTGTTTAATGGTCAGCTGTACTTCCTATTGAAAAGCCACTTTCCGTTAAAAGGGGGAGGGGGGGAGGAGAGAGAAGGAGAGGGAGAGAGAGGGAGAGAGATGAGAAACCAATGTCATGGCTTACTATGTATACACCATCAATATACCATTTTAAGGAGAAGAAAAAACAGAGAAATTATGTGATTTGCCCTACATCACACCGCCAGCAAAGGGCAAAACTGGAATTTGACTGTGTCTAAATACAATTATTCTACTCCAATTTCCATGGTATTTGCATTACACTCCATTTTAGGTTATAAAAAAGAAGTCAACTTATAAAACAAAAATAAAAACGAAAGTAACCTTCTTCCATAAGTTCAATTCCCTACTATAGCTTTTCTCAGTTGTTTCAAGAGATAAAATGTAGTTAGTTCACCTTCTCTAAAACCAATGAACAGAATATCAAGTATGCGTTCATACTTAGAGGTAAAATCACAGCTAAAATAAACACAAATTTATTCAGGGAACAAATATTTACTTAACAACTACTGAACAAATTGGACAAATAAATGAGACATACACTCTAGCCTTCCCAGAAGAACTCATAATCTAATGAGGTCAGGGATGTGGTTGGTATAAGAAAACTAATACAGAAAATAAGACAATTATAAGTGAAGTGTAAATATACAGATATTCTTTATTTTTCCCTCTCTTAAACTACTATTAACTTTTTAAATTTGTAATAGATTTCAACGTTTTCTGGCAGAGGTGACTAGAATATTTAATAAAAAAGGAATGTTTGGTTATAGTTGAAGCGTAACGGTTACGTCCTATGATGGATTAACTACCGCAACGCTGAAAAGCAACAAGATACAATAAGACTTAAAGAGGCAACAATCCTGGATGTCAGTTCATATTCTATGTTTCATTAGCTATGCAACATTGGGTAAACCATTTAACCTCTTAGTCTATATGACACCATATTTGAAATGGAATTATCATCTGCCCTACTTACTTCACAAGACTTTTGAAGGCTCAACTAAGAATTTCACAGCAAGCCTGGCCAGCATGGCTCAGTGCTTGAGAATCAACCTATAAACCAGGAGGTCACAGTTTGATTCCCAGTCAGGGCACATGCCCAGGTGGTGGGCTCAATCCTCACCCAGTAGGAGGTGTGCAGGAGGCAGCGGATCAATGACTCTCTCATCACTGATGTTTCTATCTCTTTCTCCCTCTCCCTTCCTCTCTCTGAAGTCAATAAAAACATTTTTTTTAAAAAAAGAATTTCACAGCATAACTTCTTTGTAAATTATGAAGTGCTACCCAAATGCAAACTACTATTTATTTATTTAAAAAGATAGACAGGTAGACACATACATACATATATACACAAACATGCAGTGTTGTTATCTACCAGGACACCAAGAAACAATGACATCCATTATAGGGGTACTTGGACCTCTAGTTTTTTTAAATTCTGCAGAGTAAAAATTTATCTAAAACATTTGTTATATTTATACATAACATTAAGATATGATGTTCAAGATTAAATCCTATGAAGTAACAGCTAGAAATTTAAGGGAAAATACTTACCTTAACAAAATTATCAGGAAACATTCCTCGTCTCCCATTCAGTTCCCCTTCCAGCCATCCTTCCTCCTGTAGTTTTTTCACATTCCTGATGATTTCCCCAACTCGAATAGTTAACTCATCATCATGTACAGCATCATAGTCATACTCCACAATATAGTCAACTAAAAAAAGAAACAATAGATTAATGTCTAAAACTTAACTCATAAAATACTATTAAGCCTATTACTAAACTAAGGAATCTGTTTAACAACAATAATATTACAAAGATATCATCAAGGCTTATCTCAATGCTTTTAAATATTTCGCTACATCAGCAAATTTCTTGACTACCTTAGTATAAAGCATAGTACAAGTTTTAAGTAGAAGGCTCAATACAATGTATAATTCATGCCATCAGTTGTTCTTACAGTCACTTGTTCTTCGTGTTTAGGGGCCGACAAACTCTAAGTTGGTCCCCAAGATCTCATCTCTTTTTTTTTTTTTAAATATGTCTTTATTGATTTCAGAGAAAGGAAAGGAGAGGGAGAGAGACAGAAACATCAATGATGAGAGAGTCACTGATCGGCTGCCTCCTGCACACTCCCAACTGGGGGTCAAGCCCGCAACCTGGGCATGTGCCCTGACTGGGAATCGAACCCCGATCGCCTGGATCCTGGGTTGACACTCAACCGCTGAGCCACGCCCAGCTGGGCGATCTCATCTCTTGATAGTCATGTCCTTGTATAATTCTCTTTTCTTGAATGTGAACATGACCAATAACTGACTTCTAACCAATAGAATATGACAAACATGATGAACTGAATGTGACAACATAAGATCATAATATCTGTCTTCCTAGGAAACTCATTTGCTGACTTTGAAGATACAAGGTGCCATGTTGTAAGCTGGCCAATGGAGAGGACTTCATGCAAGCATTTGAGGGAGGTCTAGAGTTGACAACCAGCAAACACTGAGGCCCACAGTCCAACAGCCCACAGAGAACTGAATGATGCCAACAACCATGTCAGCTTGGATCCTTCCCCAGTTGAAAACCCAAGCCCTGGTCAATACCTTGATTACAGCCTGCAGAGGACCTAGTTAACCCATGCCCAGGTTGCTGAATCACAAAATCAGTGAGATAATAAATGTATATTGTTTTAAACTGCTAAGTGTGTGGCAATATTGTCACAGAATGATATAAAATGAATACACCCTGAAATGAAGGTTAATGAGGATCCATATTTCATCTCCTTTAAGTATAAGATATTAGATTATGAAACATGATTTATCCATACCATTAATATTTTATAGGGCTCCATAAAAGAAAAGCAGTAACAGATTTCCTATTCAGATGGTATACTAGCCATACCTCCATTCATCTTTTTTCCTTCCATAATAATGATAAGTAAAAAGATCATACACATGCAAAACCTACAACCAAAAAAAAAAGGAGTAAAGGGAATATGGGCAGACACTGTTGGCTGTCAACAGCCATTCCCATACTGACCGCCCCTCCTTCCCTTCTCACTGAACCTTTTTGTTCAGGTTCTTTGAGACCCTGTACTTTTACAAGTGAGGCTTCTCTCAGTCCCAGGGGTTAATTCTTGACTAGTCAAGACCAGTACTTCTCAAATACTAATGTACAATTGAGTCATCTTTATTTACTTGCAGAAGCCATCTTGTTGACTCTGATTAAGTAGGTCTCGGGATACCTAATGCTGCTGGTCAAAGAGGCAAAGGTCTAATGATAGTTGATTTATAGTAATTTTATACACACAAACTCTGATGAGTTTTCAAACACACATGTGATGGGTGGACTCTGACCAATAAGATGCGAGCAAGATTTCTGGAAAGGTTTTATTTGACCTTAACTACAAAACACAAAGAAGGAATGTTCTCCTACTGACTTTGGATGTTCTTTGATGAGAATGTAATACCCAAAACTGCCACAACAATTTGAGACAAGATAAAGAGCAGGTACGATTAGGATGAAAGAGAAGATAAAAGTGACCTGGATCTTTGCTAAATTAACCATTCCCAGAATTACAATACCTTTATATTTCTTGTTATAGAAGTAGCTTTAACTTTTAAGTGTATTTTAGTCAGTATATCTATCTGCAGCTGAACACATCCCAACCTCAAAAGGGAGCCAGAGAGAATTTTAATTTGTGAAAATAAATCCATACTAATAAAGCCAGGAATAGGAAGCCCAGAGAACTTAAGAAACTATAAATGAGATACCGAATTGTTCTGTAGAACCCCAGAAAGGCTAGAAATTCAGAAAAGGAAGGCTCATGGTAAATGTAAAGCTGAAAATAGAGAAATTAATCTCCATATGGAAAAGCTGACACCCATGATCAACCACAATAGCTCTAAGACACTAATGCTAAGTAGGCAGGCACTTTTCTCCTAAGACAAAAACCTAAATGGTTAATCACACACACACAGTTTGGGGAAACTAGTATAGCTACTAAGTATGCATGCTAGTTTCTTACAGAAAGGACTACTGATTTCCAGAATTTAAAGGTCTCCAGAGCCACGCCTAGCTCCCCACCTGTTAATTCTAAAATAAAACTCTAAGTCCTAGCAATATAAACAGAGTTCCCAATCAGCTTTTTACTAAAAGGAACCAGAAGTCACTAAGAATAGGGGCAATTCCAGGGCTAAGGCAGGAAAAGCACAAAATAAGCCTGAAACATAGTGTTATGCCAGACAGCAAAGAAGTTCTCAAAAAAGGACGAGGTGATGCCAAAGGACAAAGAAAAGTGGTATTATTTTAAAGGCTCTTACTCGGCCGTATCAGGAAAATTTGAGCATCAAAATAAATAATGATAGTAACAGAATATACTCCACTGAATAAAATAAGAAGCCATGAGTCCATACATGTATACATAAATGTTAATTTCTTAAATTTTATGGTTGGATTATGATTAAGTAGGAAAAGGTCTTAGTTTGTAGAAAATATAGAGTAAAATACTCAGAAGAAAGGTATCGGTCAGGAAAAAATTCTTTGTACGGTACTTCTTTTATTTATTTATTTATTTTAAACATAGCTTTATTGATTTCAGAGAGGAAAGGAAGGGGGAGAGACAGAGAGAAACATCAATGATGAGTCATTGATCGGCTGCCTAGCCCGCAACCTGGGCATGTGCCCTGACCAGGAATCAAACCCTGATCTCCTGGGTCCTAGGTTGATGCTCAATCGCTGAGCCACACCTGGCCGGGCTGTACGGTACTTCTTAATTAACATTTCTACATTTCAAAATTTTTAAATAAAATTTAAACACATACAAATTTAAATCCTCAGAGATGTTGAGGTATACATCAAAGATACTACCATCTGATAAGGGGTTAATTTCCAAAACATGTAAGGAACTCACACAGCTCAACACCAGGAAGACAAATAATCCAATTAAATATGGGCAAAGGACCAGAATAGATACTTCTCCGAAGAGGACAGATGGTCAACAGACATATGAAAAAACGCTCAAGGACACTAGTCATCACAGAGATGCAAATTAAAACAACAATCAAGTATCACCTCACTCCTGCCAGAATGGCTACCATCAACAAATCAACCAACAAGTGCTGGCGAGGATGTGGCGAAAAGGGAACCCTCGTGCACTGCTGCTGCAAAATGGTGCAGCCACTATGGAAAACAGTATGGAGTTTCCTTAAAAAATTGAAAATGGAACTGCCCTTTGACCCAGAGATCCCAATTCTGGGAATATATCCTAAGAATCCCAAAACATCCATCAGAAAGAATATATGCACCCCTATATTCATAGTAGTGTTATGTACAATAGCCAAGATCTGGAAACAGCCCAAGTGCCCATCAGTAGAAAAGTGGGTAAAGAAGCTGTGGTACATTTACATAATGGAATACTATGCAGCTGTAAAAAAGGAACTGTTATCTTTTGTAAAAGCATGGATGGACCTGGAGATTATTATGCTAAGCAAAATCAGACAGACAAAGAAAAATACCATATGATCTCACTTATATATGGACTCTAATGAACAAAATAAACTGACAAACAAAACAGAACCAAAGGCATGGATTCATGGAACAGACTGACAGAGGTCAGAGGGGAGGGGGAGAGAGGGACTGGATGAAAGAAGGTGAAGAGATTAGCCAAATAACATTTATGCATAGCCCATAGACAGAGACAATAGTACGGTGATAGCCAGAGAGAGGGGGACAGAGGTTGGGTAAAGGTGGGTAAAAGGAGGAAACTGGGGACATCTGTAATAGTATCAACAATAAAAATTTTAAAAAGCTCAGTTTAATATTTTAATACATTAAACTATTTTATTCTAAAAACTAAAATAAAAAAGATATTGCAGATTAAGTTCCAGACCACCGCAATAAAGAGAGTATTACAATAAAGCAAGTCATACGAATTGTGTGGTTCCCTAGTGCATTTAAGTTTATACTATACTGCAGTCTATTAAGTGTACAATAGCATTATGTTAAAAAAAAATACACGTACCTTAGTCCAAAAATACTTTACTGCTGCCCTGGCCAGTGTGGCTTGGTTGTCAGGAGCATTGTCCTGTACACCAAAAGGTTGCAGGTTCGATTCCCAGTGGGGGCACATGCCTGGGTTTCAGGTCAAATCCCCAGGCCTAGTAGGGGTGTGTACAGGAAGCAACCCATCAATGTTTCTCTCTAGCTTGCTCTCTCACTCTTCCTTCCTCTTTTTCTAAATATCAGTGAAAAATGTTCTTGGATGAGTATAAAAAAAATAAAAAATTTATTGCTAAAAAAATCTAAACATTACCTAAGCCTTTAGTGAGTTATATTTTTGCTGGCGGGTGTCTGGCCTCCATGTTGATGGCTGCGGACTGACTGCGTAGTGGCTGTTAAAGACTGTGATGGCTGTGGCAATTTCTTATAAGACAACAGTGGAATGTGCCACATCAATTGATCTTCCTTTCACAATTTCTCTGGAGCAGGCAATGCTGTTTGATTTTCCCCACAGAACTTCTTTAAAAATTGTCATCAATCCTCTCAAACCCTGCCCTCTTTATTAACTGATTTTGTGTAATACTGTGGTACCTCAGTTTTCAAACATCTCCACTGATGAACATTTTGGTTTACGAACACTGTAAACCTCGAAGTAAATGCTTCGGTTTTCAAATACACCTCACAAGTCGAACATGCCACACGGCTTCCGCTGAG